GTGCGCGCCGAGTACGTGGTTTGCTTTCAGGGGAGTCTCCAGAAAGTAGCGAGCGAGCGGCGAGTGTGCTGTGTCTGTATACGAGCTGCGCACGCTGCGACCATCCTTTTCCTCTACGCCCGCGTACTCTTTTTTAAGCCGTTCGCAATGCCATCCGATGTGTGTGTGTCATGTCATAAGTGTGTCGTGTCCTTACACCCGAGCGGTGCACCATTGCACACACATCCTGGTGTGGTTTCCCCAAAGATAGTACGCGTCCGTTTTTCTCAGATTCATTCGGCAAATTGTGGCAGCTCGGCGCCTGCGAGACTTCGGGTAGGCCACCCCGCAGTGCACGTGTGCACTGCAGACAAGATGTTGCCTATCTATCAGGCGCTATGGGAGCTCGCATGCATAGGCGGAACGTGGCAGGTTCGTTCGTAACGGCGAATGACAGACGGTCGAAAGGTTTGTTGTAGGCGCACGGCGAGGAGGGCAATAGGCGCAGTGTGAGGGTGGGGCGGCCGCGCGCTCGCCCTTACCCCTTTACCAATTAGTGCCTCCCCTTTCCCCCGTATGGCTTTATGGGTCCAGGTTTTGAATTTCTCGCGGCGCCGTCGGATACATTTCGAAAAGCGGAGGCCTATGCAGCCTGCAGCAGCAGGCAGTTTTCTTTTAATTATTTTTTCTTCTTCTTTACAGCCTTAATTAGTCCTGCGAGGGGTATCAGGAAGAGGCCGCTGGTCGTCGTATCCAGTGACTCCTCATGTATGATAACTGGAGGGGATCGCGCCCGTCCAGCGCCGCCTAGGCGGGGCGGGGCGGGGCGGGGCGGGGCGGGGCGGGGCGGGGCGGGGCGGGAATTTCAAGCTGCCAAAAAGAAGCAGCTTGGTCCGTATCAGAGAGGCAACACAGCGTAGGCGCGGGCGTATTTTTTTCCTCTTTTTTTTTGCCCCCCTCCGCCTTGCGAAGTAAACATGGCCATACGCGCCAACTCCCCCGCGCTCCCCCTCGCTCCCCCGCGCTCCCTGGGGGCGCGGCAGGCCCCACTGCACTTTAAACGCGAAAGCGAACGAAATAAAGCCCCTAAATTGGTTTCGTTCCTTTGCGGGAGGGCGACCCATAACTCCCGAAATCCTACACCGCAAAATTAAATGCACGACGGCGGCGGCGCGGCGGGGGCGGGGTGGGACTGGACCGCGGGCGGTGCGGACTCGCAATGAGGAAGCGCCTTGCAGCGGGACACGCGAACACTTCTCGTAGTTGGAGAGAGACAGAGAGAGAAGGGGGGGGGGGAGACTTGGAGCAGCAGCAGCAGGTGAGAGCGAGACAAAGAAGTAGGCCTCCGGTCGCAAAAGTCCATCCATGTTCATCCCCTATGAAGACGCCATTGAGCCAAGAGAGTCATTTTGGTGCACCAATTGTAAAATGTGAGGAGAAAAAAAGGCAACTCTCTCTCTCTTTCTTTCTTCACTTGATGATGAGAAGCGAAGATGAAAGGAGCGAGGGAAAATTCTCGGTTGTGAAGAACAGGAAGAAAACAACGCGGTCCGCGCTGATTGGCCGGGACAAGCACCTCGGCGGCGGCGCCCTCCTCTCTCTCCTCTCCTTGTGGCGTGCCGCCACGTCATTCCATTACGCCCTGGGAAATTAATTAGCATTTGATTACGGTTCAAGACAAGCATTTCCAAATTGCGTTTAGTTGGCTTTTCTTTTCGCCCCACGACAGGAATAATTTGGCCAAAAGAATTTTAATTTTTCCCTGCTTGCGCGCCGGCCAGGCCCGGCCAGGGCCAGGGGGGGGCCAGGGCCAGCCTTTTTGCGCGCGGGCGTTTTCTGCTGCGCTCTCCATTCCGTTTGACAAGGGCAGCAGCAGCTAGCAGCCCCCCAGGTGTTTTTACTCTGCGCGGAGGGCGTGTTGCGGGAGCGGTGCGTTTCAAAAGTGACCCTCTAATGAGAAAAATTACCGGCATCGCAACATTGTCGAAACGGTTAAGGGGCATCCAAAAAAAACGTCGAAAATCTTAGGAACACTGGGAATGATAAGTCTGCGAATGTCGCACACTTGTAGGTCTGTGGACCATTCATACACTAAAGGGAGTAAAAGTGTAAATTTTTCCAGGAAAATTCACACAATTATGCCTTTATGTGTAAGAATGGAGTTCGTACACCTGCAAGTGTGCGATATTCACACACTTGGGTTGCCGGTGCACTCACAACCGTTCCGACATGGTTTCGACGTGTACGGCGAGGACAGTGACCGCAGCAGTGTAGCGGGTGTCGGCGCGCACCTCGGCCGGCCCACCAGCCCACCACCAACGGCCTCCATTACGGACGGCAGAGGCGCGCGCGCATCATTCAAACGGAAAATTTAATTTCCGGTTCGAACGCACGGAATGCGCGGAGAGCGGTGGCGGTGCGAGCGCGAGGCACACTACAGTGTGGCGCTGTGGCGTTGATAAGCTTTGTGCATTGCACTTTGCGCGTGGCACTGTGTTGGCGCAGGTAGCTATGGGTACGTGTATGTGTGAGTGTGTGTGCGAGTGAGTGAGTGTGTGTGTAAGTGGTGTGAGTGTGCGGTTGGTGGGGGTTCTATTTCTCGTCCGATTCCATTTGGCGCCTACGTTGTGGTGGTCACGGTCATGGTGGTGGTCGTTGTGGTGGCCGCTGTGGTCGTGGTGGTCGCGAAGGTTACAAGCGTCAATGCCGCCGCGTGGTCGCGGGTCGCGTTGTCGGCCATGCAGCCGCAGGGCACTGCACGGAAACTGCGAGGAGAAAAACAGACGTAATAATCGGTACGAAAACGCGCTACACTGGGCTCTGAGTTCGCGTCGCTGCACCGGGTTTGTTGTGACACGGGCGGACAGGGGAGTGGCGCGGCGTGGCGAGCGGGGGGG